AAAATAGTCGAATGGATCGTTTCAATCGGCGAAACTGGAAAATACGGACCCGATTTTTTTTTAAAAACTGGATCGGCAGTCTGGATCGGCATTTTACATGCTTTGCCGATACGCATTTTTTTGCCAATATCGGCGTCCCGATCCGATACGTGGATCGGATCGGGACAAGCCTAATTACAGGCTAGCGAAGAAACAAAACGACCCCTGTTCCAAAGAGGCAGACCTGCTCGTCAGGTTTCTAAGCCAAAACAAGGCTGTGTTTGGACCACTCTATAAAGCCTCAAACCCAACGCTATTTCAACATTTTAACCTGAAAAAGCTTCTTGGATGGGAAGCGAAACGTCTTCAAACTTGGAAACAAAGTCGAGTGGATTGTTTTTTTTTTTACTCTTTGGGAATTAGGAGAAGGTACAGGGCTGTGAAAACTTTCTGCTCTGTATGTGAAAAAATGTGTTTTCTTAAGGTTCCAATAACTCTTTTTGCATCGTTTTTCTTTGCTTTCTTGCAGCTAATAAATCATGTCGGTTGGAAACAGTGAAAGTCTGAGACGCAGCGAGAGGCAAGGGGGCAGCAGGCAAGTGTCATTTACAGAGGAGCGCTGCGTGGATCCCGTGGAGGACAGGCAGCCAACCAGACAGCCAAAGGCCAGCCACAAAGGGCGCCTTAAAGATGCTAACGCCAATGAGTCAGAGAGCGTCAGATTTGTGCCTGGTGCAGCCGAGCCCTCTTCTTCAGCAACAAGCTGTAATCCCTGCTCTTCCCTGAAGACCTGTAAAAGTTTTTTGTGCACTGTAATCACATGTGGACTGTACAGGGTCTGCCAGTGCTCCATTCTTTCTCCATGCTTGGCGCCAAATGAGAGCTCCCCAAAGGAGACGGAAAAGACAAGCCTCCAAGGCGTCAAACCAGAGGACAACAAAGAAGATTCTGACATCGAACTGACAGACTTTCACATTAATGGAGTCCCAGTATTCAGTCCGAAAGAATGTTTAGACCTTGATAGCAAATCTCCATATCCATCCTTACCTTCTCAGACTCATACAGGGTTTGCCTCTTTGCATGAGTCCTTGACATTTGAAGACTGGGAGGACGGTGAAGAGAATGTGGACTCACTGATCACCAAGAAGCTGCTGGAGCTCTACTCTGAATATCAAATCGAAGAGTTGGCCAGGTGCACCTCCGACTCAGTGTTTCTGAGGAAGAGCAAAGCCATCGCACAGCTTATCAACTCTGTGGCAGAGGAGCACAAAATGGACGAGCAGGAAGCAGAGTGCCGGCTGGTGCGGGGCATCATCCGCATCAGCACCCGAAAGAGTAAAAGGAGGCCCCCCATTCCCATGATGGAGAGGACGCTGTCGGACAGTGGGCACGGAACCATGATCGGCAGTGGATCCTTTCCTTCCAGCAACAACAGTAAGTTGGACCTTTTGCACTCCTTTATGGTGCTGTGCTGTCAGATAAATCGTTTGATTTGTATTTTTCGTTTCCTTAAGATGACTACAAGTCAAATCCAAACATCCAAATATCAGACTTGACTTCCACTGACAAGTTTGCCAGAGACATGTGGAGGAAGAATGACGGTAAGGATGCTTCAATGTTAATTCCCTGTTAATATGTGATTTTATTTATTTATTTTTTTGTTTAGGTGGGGGGCCTATTCTTAAAGATACACAAACAAAATCTCTGATGAATTTCATTGTGAGCAACTGAGCAGGAATCAGTACATTGATAGCTTAGCTCTTTCTGAATATTGAACTAAGCTGTTTTTTGTTTAAGTGAGAAATCCACACTTTCTCTTGGCCAATTTCTTTCAAACAATTTATTTAAACTGGACCAAATAATTTCATATTTAACCCGATATGTTCTAGCAGCAATTTGGCTTCAGTATAGCGCCTACAATAGTAGCTATTCAAAATTTCCCCACTTTCCTTGATGGGCCCTTGGCTGGCCCTTGACTGGTCTTTGGTTGGTCCTCTACAGTTTATTTTTAAACTTCAAGCTTTGTACTATATTATTCTTTCTGTCATGATTGGCGTACATTAAAGTCATAGGTAAGTCATATTTAAATGTCAAATCATTCTGGCTTAAACATGTATATAAATGTGCTCTTTATCAGACTATATTGTCCAAAAAAAAAAAAGAAATTCCTGTCTTGAAATCTTTTGGTTTTTTTTCGTTATCTTCTGCAGGCCAGTTAGTTATACGTCAGCCTGAACACCTAAATTCGGCCAATCATATATCAACGGTCATCTGTTAATCAAATTTTTTCGGTCATAGCATCTTGATTCATATTTCGCACCTAAAATATGCAACGGAAGAATCATATAAGAATCATTTCCTTTCCCATTGAGTTCCATCCCAGTGTTCACGGGGATGGACGTCTGTGTCTTCAGCAGGTGTAGAGCTAACAGAACTGGCAGCGTTGCGAGGCAAGGGCTCAAACATGTACGGCTGTAAGCCTTCTACACCAAACCAAGCTTCTGCCGCCCTGGCGTCCTCTTCCACATCTCCGTCCCCGCTTTCCTCCTTTAAATAAAAAATTTATGATGGAGGAGACTCATCCACGACCTCCGACACAAAACTCTTCTCCTCTTGCATGTTTCTGCTGTCCATAGCGTTCCTGGACAGTGTTGTTGATCAGTGCTACTTGGTCACAATGTAATTTCCCATTGGGAACCTACTAGCACTAAGTTGCTAACTGGTTAGCAAGATGCTTTCGACACGACCACAACCAAACTTTCTTGCGAACCTTACACCACAACAATCCCTCCCCCTTGATAATCGACCAATCACATTCACTTTATTCACTCGTGTAAAGTCGGGCTCCACTTGGGAGAATTCAGAAATGCAACAGTTGGAACAGCCGCTTCCCTACGACTTTAAGATAGAAGCATCATCTACTGGTCAGACCCTATAATTCAGTGAAAGGGTGGAGTCAGAGTAAAAAAAAATATGCCCAGGAGAAGGCCAAAGGCTGGGAGTTGGAGGGGTTTTGCTGGGAATTACAGGAGAGTAGGCTGCCATTTGGCTGCCGTTTGACTCGGAAGGGGGATTTTGAATGGTTGCTACTAAATAAAGAAAAAAAAAACACAGATAAGAAAGTTCATCTAATCTGAATTCTGTTGCTACTTTGGTGTTAAAATGAAGTAAGAAGCTTGCAGCTCTTTAATACTCCAGGTGGCTATATAAGATATTTTCATATTTAAGCTTCTGATTTGCTTTTAAAATCAAATATGTTAATTTATATTGTGTAAATAGTCATTACTATCAAATCATATAAACAGATTATTAAAAGGTTTTCTGTCTAAAGAAGCATTGCAGATCTCATCAAATAATTGACTTGCGAAATTCTCTCCTTGCAGCAGCAGTGGACAGTCACATTGTGTCGTTAACTTTGCAGCAGTCCCTCAAACTGAGCAAAGCTTGACCAAAACCAGGCTCTGTGCAAACAGCCTTTTACAACAACTGACAGGGATTTCGGGTTTTTTTCCTTAAAAGCACTCTTCTTAAGTCACATCCTGCTTTTAGCACACCGTCGCAGCAGGCATTTATCTTTCCAAGATCCAGAAAAAACATACCGACTGTTGTAACTGTGTCAGGGTACGGTTGTGAGGCCATTTTAGGATCTTGGATTGTGTTCACACCAGTGTGGTCTGATATACTGTAAACTATAAAAGCCTCTTCATGTAGTTAAGGAGGGACAGTCATTTATTCCCAGCAGTTTTTCCTCAAGGTTTTGATAGTAGTGATATTTATGAGCCAAATTACGGGATTTCTGTAGATGTTTACATTTGCAAACCATCGCCAGCAGGAGCTGCTGCAGGCTCGCCATGTTTTCCATGCGGATTCTTCCGCATAGTTACAAGTTATTCTAGTTTGATGCGTCTTTGAGGTCCATGTGGCCAACTTACATCATTTTGGGATTCCACTTGAGACATAAACCAAGCTTATGTCTTGACCCAAGCGTTATCTTAATATGACACATATTAAATTATTTTTTTTAGGTCAATATGGAGCACTTGGTGCATATCGATGCTCCATGCCAGTTGCTCTTCCCAATAAACTCTCTGTGGTAGCTTGAGTGTCAGACTGAATAGGTTGCACAACCAAGAGTGGCACTGTACAGCAGCCAGTGCTCCCTTTAACAGACCACTGTTAACTTAGCTAAAACTTACCTGATCAGGCGGTTTTTTGTTGTTTGATATGGAAGTTCAGAGCATTAAATATTTATGGTGCAAATATGCAGAATTTTGGATTGGTTTTATCAGTGTGATGCAGAGTCAGTGACATGATTAATAGTTTTCACAACAGTTCAGCTGTCTGGTGGTGGTGGGGAAGAAGCTGTTTCGGAAATCTGCTGGACCTGCATCGAGTGCTGCAAAGACTCTTCCCAGAGGGCAGCAGGGACAACAGTCCATGGTCAGGGTGTGAGGGGTCATTGATGATGTTACGGGCACGGGACACGCAGCGCTGGGATGAAATGTCTTTTATGGAGGGAAGAGAAGAGCCCTGCTGATGTTCTCATCACTCTTCTCACCTTCTTCCAGTCTGAGGCACTGCAGCCTCCGCACCACACAGCGTGACAGCTGGTCAGAACACTCTCTATGGTATTTCTGTAGATGAATGTGCCGAAAACAAAATCACATAAAAATCATCAATGGAATTCCAATTTATTAACCAATGGAGGCCTGGATTTTATGTCATACACAATTTAAAGTGGGAAAAAAAAAACAGGCTGATCCAAATTTGATGAAATGTCCTTAAAACCAGACAAAATTGACCTCCCTTACAATGCCTGGGCATGCTTCCAATGAGATGGATGGTCTCCTGATGGATCTTCACGCAGGTCTTGACTAAAGCATCTGTCAACTCCTCAACAGTCTGTAGTGATGTTGGTGGACGTGATGTCCCAGATGTGTTTAATCAGATTAAGGTCTGTGGAAAGGACGGACCAGTCCATAGCTTCAGTGCATTCATCTTGCAGAAACTGCTGACACACTCACACTAGTGTCCTGCATGATGTTTGGCTGTGAGCACAACTATCTATTGATGTCTGGCTCTCATACCATCCTCATGGAGTCGGTTTCTAACCCTTTATGCAGACACATGTACGTTGGTGTTCTGTTGGAGGTCCTTTTGCAGGGCTCTGGCAGTTCTCCTCCTGTTACTCCTTGTACAAAGGAAGAGGTAACGGTCCTGTATCTGGGTTTTTGCCCTCGTACGGCCTCCTCCGCATATTCTGATGTACTGGCCCATCTCCCGGTAGCGCCTACCAGCCTCTGGACACTACGGCAACAGACACAGGAAACCTTCCGCCACAGCTCGCATTGATGTGCCATCCTTGATGAGATGCACTACCTGATCCACTTGCGTGGGTTGTAGAGTCTGTGTCATGCTACCAAGAGTATCAAAGCACTACCAACATTCAAAAGTGACCAAAACATCAGCCATAAAGCATAGGTTCTGAGAATCGGTCTATGATCCCCACCTGGAGAACCACTCCTTTATTGAGTGTGTCTTGCTAATTGTCAATAATTCCCACCTGTTATCTATTCCTTTTCCACAACAGCATGTAAGATTGTCAATTAGTGTTGCTTCCTAATTGGACATTTTGATTTCACAGAGTTTTAAGGTAATTGAAGTTGTACTGTGTTATTTACGTGTTCCATTTATTTTTCTGAGTAGTGTATGATGTGTTCTAAATAATGATAGTAGTGAGTACCATAAAATGCCCCCTCTGCCTTTGTTTTTTCTTTTGCCTATATGATATAAGCTACAGTAGATGGAACTTTCTTTGACATTGCAGCTTAGCTTCTCACAAAGTATGAATTGTTGGAGGCAAAACCAACTTTTGTATTTATTCTTTCCACCTCAAAAATCCTTTTGTCTTCTCATGAAGATTGTAGTGTCCTTCAGTCATTGGGATCACCAGGAGCAGGGGTGGCCATTGCCACACTGTGCTATGTCCTGGCCACCCCACTGGCCAGTGTAAATTGTAGTAGCATCAGTTTAGCATTTCATCCCATTATGCACAACCAGCACCGTAACAGTCTTCAGTCTACTGGTCCAAAGTTGTCGGCTATCACATTCCAAATCCTGGAGTAGAGAACTCCACAATCATAAGTTGGGAGTAAAACTTTCCTCGGGTAAACGGCAGATACCATGTTTTTTGTTTTGCTTTGTTTTTCTGTGGAAGGCTATTAACAGAGATTTGAAAATATTGGGTACAATGTTTTAATCTGCGTCTAATAGAATGCATGCCTTTTAACCGGTATGGTAATCTTTTCACTTTGTTTGGATCAGTTTGCAGTTGCATCACTTGCTGTTTTGGCTTCACCTGCAGTTAGCAAACATATTTTTCACTGTAGCTCTTCATACAGCCTCCATCTCCATTAGTGGGTAGGAAACCTAGAATATACTAATGGGAAAAATTCCCCCAACTTAAGTTGGAATTCACAGCAAAGGCCATAGTTTATGACTTAATTAATGGTCCCAGACATGCTTGATGGTAAAACAGTAAAGGGTATGGTAGTAAATGGTGTCTGGGAGGTCAGTGGAAATCCCCATGGTTCTCATCATAGGGCTGTGTGTATTTTTTTTGTGTGTGTATTCTTTTTGTACCTCTTTGCTACACTATAATACACTGGTGCAGGCTCAGACTGGAAATGATTTTTGGCCCTGGCATTTTTCCATCTACACCCAAAAAACAAAAAAAAATAGAAACATAGTCAAATGCGTGCGTCTCAAATGTGAAACACAATGCGAATACACTTTGTGGATTAACCGATCTATCTTCAAGCATCACAACAACCATTACCAAGACTTCTTTAATGCAGTTTTACTGGCTTTGGTTATTAACACGGACACAACAGTGACAGCTGCTGTAACGTCCACACTTGCACAAAGCCACCCACCCACTCACACGCCCGAGTGTTTTAAAAACACCAACATAAAACAATACAATATAGAGGGAGACAGGCAGTTCTTCAAGAATGAATACATGAAAGCTCAGTGGTGTGTAAGTATTCACTGCGAGTCTAGGTCAATGTGCTCGTCAACAAAGCACATAAGATGGGAAACGTTAGCCTTTAAATGCAAAACCCCATCATGCACCACAACATATTTTTGCAAAATGTTCTAACATAAATTCGCCAAATATAAGAGGAACATCGTAGTTTGGTTTATATAAAGCATTTTTGTTGCAAAGATTTTACAGTTTGAAGAAATAGAAAATTACACCATATGCCAACTGTCGCAAGGATGTACATGACAAGGAAGGGCTATATATACTGCATGCATCATTTAGGTAGTTAATATTGTATTCTTGAGCTCCTTGAGTTATTTACTGTCACATGTAGGTGCTTTGGATGGAGAGTAAATGTTGGGGCTGGTATGATTTAAGGAGGGCCGGTGCTGAAATTTTGACCGGCCCACCACGCAAATCACAGATTACCAGTCTGACCCTGCACTGGTGACAATCCTGTATTGATTTGTAGGAATTAATATGCAAAGTGATTCAGAATTGGAAAATCTGTTTTTTTGACAAATTCCTTACTGTGCAGATTAGTTTAAAGAGCCACTTTATCAGAGCTTTAAGCAGAAATGATTGCCCTTTGCCTCACATCACTACTCACTGATCGATGTGTGTTATTTACGTGGGCATGGTCGAAGTAGGTGATTCCTGGAGGGAGTGGGTGAATGATGCTCTACTTGAAACGCTAAAGGCTACTCTTTTCCAGAGCAGGGAGCTGCTGCTGCTCAGGGAGCAGAATTCATGAAGGTTACTCAGACATACATGAATTATGAATCTTAGCCAAAAGTTTTTTTTTTTAAGTTGATTTTGCAGGATATAGACCTTTTAAGGTCAATTATATTTTTTGTTCTTTCCTCATAGATCACACTTCAAGTTCTCCAACAACCTACTCATCCAGTCGCTCAGAGATGGAGTCCTCAGGTGTCCCTCTGCTGTACACTTCAGTGAGGACATGAATCATCCCTGCATTCCTGTCACATTGTTTCCGTAAGCGCACATGCAGAATGTTAACAGGAAGAAATTATTGGACTGGAGCCTCTGGCTGAGCCAAACTCCTTACAGAGGCCATGCCTTTGCCGTGGAAGAAGGAAAATGTCGGAAGTCTTTGAGTGACCTCAGGTTTCGGTGTGTAGATATACGTGTGGTTTCTAAATATTACATTTGTGCTTTGAAGGATTGCTTCTGTGGAAGTTCTACACAAAGCCTTAGGCAATGGCTTTTTTAAAAAAATGTACACATCACTGTTTAAATGTTAGTTTTTTTCAAATGTTAAATACATAATGACCAGTTAAAAAAACATTTAAAAACTTTACACTACTAGTTATTTTTATTAAAGTATAACAGCATTCAGTCTTCTTCGATTGGAGTCTTTGTAAACAAATCTGCTCACTTCGGCTTGCCAAAGTTCTCATATTGGGAGAACATGTTTTTTCCATGGCTCTCTTCAGGTAGATTAATTTTAAGGTGTAGTGGAGGATGTTCTTTTTCCTGGTGGATCATCAAAATAAGTGGTCTTCCTAATTGTCAATCATTCTGGTGATACGTTTACGTAAGGCCGTCCTACGTGCTCGTCCCATTTTCACTGACTGCTGGTGAGTCTGACATGGTGGGAAAAATTGCTAATCCTCTTTTGGAAAGAGCTTGTATGAGCTACGCAAAAGCAACTTTTAAACAGATTATGCATGAGGAGAAATGGGCTTGTGCACGCTCTCGCACGCGTTTAATAGGTGTTCCCTTAGGAGCGGGTACACGGTTGTGCATGTGCTTTTTTTTTTTTTTAGTGGAGAGGGCAGATCTTTTCGGAAATTTGCTGAACTCCTCCACTATACTTTTAGGGACTTAGTAGACCTGTCACTTCCTTTCCAGAAACCATTCTTTTGTTGCTTTTGATGTATGCTTGGATGTCCTGTGAAATCTGAAGGTGTATGATTATTACCTTACCATATAGGAAACGTTTCAGGACTTTAAAAATCCCACATCATGATACCACTACCACAGTTTCATCATGGGTGGAGTGCTCTTTTGGTGATGCTTGCCTGTAGCCAAAGTAAAGCTTCAACTGTGGGCATAAACCATAACACCCTGACCCATACCCCTGTAGAATATCAGGGATTAGTGTTTTCTTTTCTGTTAAATGTTCTGTGTTCATCCATACCTCATCCAGGCCCAAACCGTACAGAATGTATAGATTGTTGTCACATGCTCAATTTGACAACTAGCCAAAACAATGGTGGTGAACAAACATGGAATGTTTTTTTTCCCAGCTTTTTATTGTCATCACACTGCCACAAGTACAGAGCAGTGAAATTCACTCTTTGCATTTCAACCCATCCCCTTGGGGAGCATTGGGTTGCAATTGTGCAGCGCCCGGGGAGCAGTGTGGGGGTTAATGGTCTTTTTGCTCAGAGTGGCAGTCAGGCTGAAACCCATAAACTCTGGATTCCAAGCGTAATGCCCTAACCACTAGGCCGCCACTCCACTAACTGTCTTTAAAGCCGCAAAAAAAAGTCCAAGATCAAGAGTAAAAGGATGCAAGAGGATGTTTGATTCCAGGAGGGATAAAACTTAAGTTGTGCTTGTAGAACAATAGAAATAATGGAGAACAATAAAGCTGGATCAAAAGGCCAGGAAGCATTGTGATGCCACTGTGAACTCGTTAGTGCATGTCCTAGCTAAAAGTGCTACTGGGGTTAGATTACCTTTGATGCCCTATCCACCAAGCTGTTGGTTTTCATGGGGCATTACAGCATGGCTTATTTAGTAGCTGCATTAATGGATATGGCTCTTCGGTAGATCAGCGATATGGCGCCGAGCTCCATGCACCCAGTGCTGGGATTCTATTTAGGCCCAAAATGGACAATCAAAACACTATCAGGATGGATGCTTGGAATCTGTAGCCTTATTTAATCATAATCAGCTTGAGTCAGGCCTTTTTGGTATCAACATATAACTTAACTATGTACCTCTAAGGGTGTGTCAACCTATGCAAGCGACTTCTTTTTTTTAACTCTCTTCATCTAAACAAGGTGGTTTGTTTTTCAGCTAAACAGTAAAAGATATGACATGTTAGAGGTGGTAAAAGTTTCCCAACAGGCCTATAAAATAAAAAAAAAGTACCTAGCAATTTGGCGTGGTGTGAACAGTTTTAAAATCCACTGTTTTTTATATAGATAGTTAACCGTCTGTTCCTTTTTGTAGTGTTTGTCATTTTAAAATGTGACTTTTGACCTTGTGGGTTTGATTACTCTGCTCTTATTACATCCAGGATTATTGATTATTTTCTTTTTTGGTTTAATGTTAATTTCAAAACCTTGCCTATATAGACCTGCTTATTTGTTTAGTTGCTTAGTTGTCTTTAATTATGTTTATATTTCTGATGAATTTTTGATGTGCAAAGTGGCAATAGTATAAGATAAGATGAAGAAATATTGAATGTATTCTAAAAAAATTACGAGTACCTATTTTCTTTAACATTAGCTCTTTGTGTGTAGACTTAAAAAATAAGTTAGGAAAATATATATTTTTTTTTTTTGCTTTTCAATCTAGCAAGTGAACTTAGCATGAAGCCAACAGGAACTAGACTCTGTTGTTATCTCTAAGAATGTAGCAAAAGCTTCCTGCACATTTTATTTTCATGTTAAAGTAATTATTATATGTACCTAATAAAGTACATTTGGTTAGAGAGTTTTAGATATTTAAAATGAATCCAGTTTACCACCTGGATTTCTACCTCTCTCCTGTTTTCATGCTAAATTAAGCTAAGCTAATTAGCTTCTCCCTGTACATCATATTTCCTGTAAAAACATGAAAGCTAAATCCCTTTTTTTTTTTTTTTTTGTCATTAAAGGGATAACTTCAAAGAAACAATTAAAGCTCTGTTATATGTTTTTTAAAGGTTAGAATGTGATATCTGTTGTAATCTAGTAATTTTTTTAGACAGTTAGCATTTGCTAAATATGTTTGGTGTTGTTGCTTTTAGGCCTTTTTAGAAACATCATTGTAATCTAATCCAATAACTTCCTTGTTAAGAATTTATTTTTTTATAATTTTCTTGTTATCCTTTTTGTTGAAGGTTATTAAATTGTATAATACATTTAGGCCCCAGCCTCCCATTGTATGTTTCATTTCAATTCCATGTGTGAACTTTATGATTGTCTTATCTTTTGTAACATTATCTGTATAATTGGATGACAATCGGCCCACTTTGTTCTTTAATGTGCCTTGAAATTATGTCTGTAGTTAATCAGCACTGTATAAAGAAAAGTAATTATAAGGTTATGCAATACTTTCTGATTTTGATTTCAGAGCACAAAATGCAACTGATTTAAGAACTTCCAGCTCTGTCTGTCATGCTCTTTGCACTTTTCCCTTCTCTTGTATTATACTGTTATATAAAGTCTTCGTTAAAAATGTGGTATCTGCATTTTAATACCTTGCAACGTTAAGCCAGTAAAAAAAGTGAATAAATAAATGATGTGAAGATGAAAGTGTGGATCCACTGTTTATTTTATAATTAGACAGAGGACTGTGTGAGGGAATCACATTAACGCTGACAAAAATATGCATAATATTCTTAAAGACTGTTTATCCTTATGTTTAAGAAAAAAAATATTTTAACCAGGCGGAAACACAATTTGTTAAAGATAGGCTCTCTGTGTCTACTTCTTAAAGTGGAGGTCTTCAACAGGGGGTCCGCGACCCCAAGGGGTCCACAGAGGTACTGCATGGGGATCGCAGTTGATTAGACTTTTTTTATATGCCGCCCTGCAATTTTTTCCACTAATTGAAATGTATTTAAATACACATTGACATGAATTCAACACACTGTAGTAAACAAATAAATGGAGGCAGAAGATGTCTTTCGGTCATCAATGCACACATTCAGCGACACACAGGAGCTCTTTCAAGCTGGGCACCGTTCCATTCACAACACCTGTCCCATCAACCAGGAATAAGAATCAGAAATACTTTAATAATCCCAGGGAGAAATTACTTATGTTACATTACTCCATCTGTAATAAAGGACCAGTTTGATATAACACAATTTCATACAATATAACCATCTGGCCATCAGATTGGGGGTCCTTGGCCTGGAAAACGTTGAAGACCTCTGCTTTAAAGCTTTCTCTCTCTGTTTTTTTTTTCCTGAATAACTTTTATGTATTAAATAACCATAAGTCAGGACAACAGATTTTCATAGAAATTGTAATCTTACTCGGATCAGAGAAGTTGCTTAGAGTTACAGAAGGCAGCTGCCTACCAACCAGGCTCACTTCGCAGGAAGTGGCCTGATAAACTATTAAAGAGGCATTTTATACATCTCCAGTCTGCCACATCTTCACATTTTACATCATAGATGTTTGCAGATGAGGAGACATCTATGATTCCAGCCTTATCAAAATATTAGCTGAAGGACACCACTCTTATTCCATTCCCAAATCTTTGCCACGTACAGAATGAAGGTTTATATATATATAGATATATATATATATCTATATATCTATATCTATCTATCTATATCTATATCTATATATATATATATATATAATATATATATATATATTTTAGAGGTTATTTTGTTTCAGTTCTGACACACAACAGGCAGCTAATATTAAGGTGTATTAAACTGACATCGCTCATATTTATCCTAACAGTTTCAAGTTAGCATAGTTTAGAAATGAAACAATATAACTTTTTTGTTCTATTTGCTATTTATTTTCATCTATTTTATTTACTGTTCGACAAAGAAAACATCGCTAAATAACATAAATTTTTGCTCTAGAAAATTCTATTTTATCAGGCTCCTCTGTTCCTCCCAGAGCAAATTCTGTAAAATGATTGGATCAAAGTCTTGTCATTTAAAATACGCCCTTCCAATTGGTCGAAACTTTCGTGGGTGGAGTTAGTTTCCAGGAAGTAAGTCGTGTGACAACACGCTCAGTCTAATGCTCGTTTTCTTCTGGTCAGTTTACTTGCATTTATTTTTGTAACTCTCCTAGCCAACAGTACCGTTAGCATTCAACCTCTAGCGACATGGGGGAAGAAGAAGAAAAATATGACGGCATGTTGCTCGTCATGGCCCAGCAACACGAAGGAGGAGTGCAGGAGGTAAGCCAGCGTGCTGCTAATATGCTAATGCTAGGATGCTAATAGCCAGGGTACAGGTTTAAACATTTATAAGCGGCAATAGGAAACCGTCTCAATCAATTTACTTTATCATAAAATGTGAGAATTGCTAATACATTTAACATGGTTTATATATACAGTGGTATTTATTCCGTTGTCTTGCTATATTTGGCTTACATGTGTCTTAGAGGGGACACGAAGTTAGATGGATTTTAGCCTTAAAAGCAAAGGAGGTTTTGAGTTGCCCAAAGAATTAAATTCAATTCAGTTTATTTCTATAAAGCTTATTCATAACACATGTTATCTCAAGGCACTTTACAGTTCATCAGATCACCAGATCAGGCAGCCCCTCAGAATAAGCATGCTTGTAGCGATAGTGGAGAGGAAAAACTCCCTTTTAACAGGAAGAAACCTTCAGCAGAACAAGACTCGGTGTGAGCGGCCATCTGCTGAGGCTGACTGGGGTTCAAGGAGACAGAAGCAGAGATACAAAAAGCAACTGTAAAAACACACAGCCAGGCAGACAAGCTCTGAGTCAACTCCCACGTCAGAGGATGAAGAGAGCACATCCAGCCAGTCAGTCAGAGAAACAGGACTACACTGAAAAACAGGCCGATCTCCAACATCTATAAACAGCACAGCTGATATTTCTCTCCAGGATGGAGTCACAGCCAGTCAGGAACAGACCAGATGAAGCTACTATGAGAAAAAGCAGAGAGAGTGGGAGAATAGAGATAGAATGAAGCAGAATAGGGGAAAAGGGGTCCCTATGTCCTCCAGCAGTCTAAGCCTATAGCAGCATAACTATAGAAATAGCTTACTGCTGTACACTAATGATAATGTGTGAAGTCATTCTGAGGGGAAAGCAAATTTACAAAATTATACATGCTGCACACTGACTGCTGTAAAATGTTTCATGTCTGGTGTATTTTACCATGAAAGTAACTATTGAACTATGTAAATATCTGCTCATTTTTTAGAGTTACTGTGTGTTATGTTGTGATGGGATTCTGTTTAAAGATGTACGTCGAAATAAGTGGGTGTAGCAATTATTTCTATGTATATTACAAAATGGCTTGTGTTTTGCTTTAAAAATAGTTATGCTTTAAAGGTTTTTCTTTAAACTGCAACAGAACAACCTTTATACTGGGCTAACAGAGGGTGTAAGTTTTAGTACCGATTCTGCTGTATGCCTCTAACTGGAGTCTGTTCTTTCGCTCCAACAGCTAGTGAACACATTTTTCAGTTTCCTGCGACGCAAGACTGATTTCTTCATAGGCGGAGATCCAGGAGCTGCAGAAAAGGTGAGCTGTTTTACGCCATGTTCAGACAGCAAACGCTACAAGCAGCAAAAAAGCTTCTGCTGCTTCGTTTTTGATGCTTGTTCACATTGAGGTCTGACGCACCTCAAGTGCATCTTTGATGCTCCTGCAGCGCATCAAGTAAAATGTGTCTAGATGCATCTGATGCTTCTGCTGCTCCTGTGTTCGATGGCAGAGAACGGCTTTGCTATCTTTGCTGTGATTAGTGGGTCAAAATTAGTTTGAAAACTTTATCTGTGCATCAAGGTTACGATCCTGCCCTAAGATATTATTTCTCAGTCGGAGCCGCTCAGACCCCCCCATACACACACACACACAGCGGTAATTTTCTGTCCCGTTCAACAGCAGCCTCTGGCCCGGTTGCCTCTTTGTGGTTTACAGATATTGTTCATTACGGCTGGAAGAGCTTTTTCATTTACGTAATCCAAACTGCTGGCATCAGAATAATTAAACATATTTTTCCAGCAGGTTTCAATATTTTAAGGGAATTTAGGCGTTAAACTGTTTTTAGTGGAGTGATCATAGCGCTCTGCATCAGAAGTGCTGTGTCTGTCTCCCTGCCAGCTCCCAGATCAGCTTCTCTGATTGGTTGATGTGGCGCATCGAGCAGCCAGCATAAAATTTTTCCAACTAGAGAAGCTGCTGCTTGTGCAGCGCATCACGTTGCTCCAAAGCTCCGATGCTTTGCCTTTTGATGTGCATCAACCATTGACTTTGCATGTAAACTAGCTGCTTCTAAAGCATACGGTCTTAACGTAGCATTTACTGTTCTACTTCAGCTGAAGCTCAAATGGAAACTTTCCTAGAAGAATGAAATCTATTTGTGTTTTGTTTGGATCACCTTCTCCATTAAAACTACCAGGCCGAGAAAAGGAGAATGCACCAGAACAGACGTCCTTCTAAGATTCACCATGGGGGAGATTTAAAATATAACATTCATACTGCACTATGTTAGAAAGTATTTGTATATCGAAGAAAATTAAAAATGTTATCATATCAATTCATCCGAGTTTCCCTCTATCTGTAGCCTTTCGCATTGTCCAAATGCAAAACCACCTCTGCTCTCTTTATCCTCTTGGATTAGAAATAACTTTACACGTTTATTTGCCTCCCAAATGTGTTACTTTCAGCTGGTTAAAGAGAGCTTCGATCACCACAGCAAACTGGCCCTGAAAGCCCACAAAGACAAACAAGTGAAACAGGAGAAGGAAAAGAAAGAGAAAGCAGAACGAGCTGCCAAGCTCGCTGAGGAGGAGAGGAAAAAGAAGAACCAAGACGGACCAAGAATTCAGGAGCTGACAGACGAGGAAGCAGAGAAGCTACAGTCTGAGCTGGACAAGGTGAAGCCTGGATGGGATGTTTATCAACCAAACCACTGTTAGAATTGTTTTCCTGATATGTTTTCTTATTATTTATAGAAGAAGAAAGAGGAGGAGAAAATAAAGAATGAAACGACAAATGAAGAGAAGACGTCTGACAAAGTAGAGAAGGGGGTGAGTGAACGGTTTGAATTTTGGGACTCTAAACAATTGTTCTTTCTGTATTTTTCGAGGTTTTCATCTTGAATTTTTTTTCATTCAGTCTGACTCAGAGACGGAGGAGGATGAGAAGGACAAAGATAAACTGAAGCCTAATTCAGGAAACGGAGCCGACCTTCCAAACTACAAATGGACTCAAACGCTGTCAGAAGTAGATGTGAGTTTTCTCTCAGTGAAGCGTTCCTGCTGCACTTCACTGCTTCCAATTAGATAAGCAGTCTAAAAACCTTTGGTTTTAACCTTTTATCTGTTATCATGTCTTTATAAGAACGGCCCTACTGGTGCTGACATCCTCGACTTACGGGACCTCTTGTCTCACCAGATTTAAATTGCTTTACTCAGATTTTAGTCGTTCTCACAACAGAATCTCACATTTTTATCGAATGCTTTCTTTTTTATTGTGATTATCATCTGAGATGGAGCCCAGAGGCTTTAACTCCTGGTCCTAAAGAGCCTGATATGCTGATTCAAATTTTGACCAACGCCAATTCTTTTTTTACGACAGCTGTTATAAGATCACAATACAAGGTTCCAACTTTTAGTCATTTTATTAGAAAAAAATCTTTAATTAGACACAACATAAATGTACCATTTACTACGATGTGACAAAAAAGTCTTGACAATGACAAAAAAATAACAAAATTAATTATAAAAAACGAAATAATAAGTTTACTCTTCTGTAAATCACATAAAACACATTTTCCTCTATAATTCAATTCAGTTTATTTCTATAGTGCCAATTCACAACAATTGTTACAGTCAAATAGATGAAAGTTTTCTATTTAAGGAAAACCAGTTGATTGCATCGACTCATTGTCTCTTCAGCACTCCCTCACACTAAGCATGCTTGTAGCGA